CTGCTGTGGGAGCAAGAGGGGCATGTTCCCTGGGTTCAAGGCATGGCGTTTCCTCTGTAGGATAAGACTCAGGCACCAAATCAACAAACTGTTGGGATTTCAGTTGACCCTTATCAATTAAATCTTTAATCCCCAGGAGTTCAGCCTGTGGAGCCGCAATGACTGTACGCTCCTCACTCGTCGCCGGTCGCACTTGTTCGGGTGCTGCACGGATGACTTGCCGGCGATGCATGAGGACGATATTGCGACCGACTGTACCCAACACAATTGCACAACCATACCATCTTCCTCCTTGTTGGAGTTTACCCTTGACCCATTTCTGATGACGCCAATAACAAACATAATCCCCTGGTTGAAAGTCTACGGCTTTGCGAGGACGTGCATTGAGGGCCAGGCGGATGGCTTTGTCATCCTGCAACTCAATTACTGCTTTTCTTGCTGTGAGACGCAAGGCTTGGGCTCTGGCGGCTGCATCATCCATCAAGGATGCGGTGGCTGGCACGATTTGGATTGGCTCATTGAGTAAATCAGAAGGCACTTGGGGATTCTTACCAAACACATACTGGTGTGGAGAATATCCATGAACCTGTAACATCTGATTCTTTACATGAGCATGTGACACGCAAGTAAGCCATTCTTCTTGATTGCTGGGGGCATGTTCAACAATCAGCTTTTGTAAAATGCGGTCAAACCACCCACCATGGGACTCCGTCTTGCCAAGCTGGGAATGAGCACCGGCTGCAATGGGACGAATGTGAATTCCCAGGCTTTCTGCAGGGCCTACAAAACCTTCGCCTAAGTTTGTTCGTGCAGGGTCCAGAACGATCTCCTTGGGTGGACCAAACGGCGCTATCCAATGTTCATGCAAGACCTGGGACAACACACTGGAAGTTTCAGTTTGGAAAAAGGGCACCATGCGTTGGAAACCACTGGCTTGATCAACCATGTTTACCGCCGACACCTTCTGGCCACTTTTCCACCCTGTGAGATACTTGACATCACATCCCAGCTGATGGTTGAAATCGCAGACCCGATTGGTTTGCGCTGGCAAGGCTACTTTGGGTCGAGCTTGGCTAAGGCAGAAATCGCATTCAAACTTCTTGGCAGCTTGCAGAGCCGGTTCGGAAGCATTGGCGTTTCTCAACACTCTCAACAAATCTTCTTTGGACGGATGACCAAGGTTCTTATGCAAACGGGCAATGATTGGTTGCAGATCATCCACTGAGACATCTTCATTGGCCAGGCATTCATGACTGACAGGCTCTGAGCTCAAAAACTCGCAGGCAGATACAGCGACTGGCTTACCACACTGTTGGCGGTATCTAGGCACGCACTGCAACACAGCTTCAACGAATTTTGGTGGGTATTGTCCTGCAAAGGCACTGATGGATGGAATCCCAGGGCAGCTGCCAGCGACAACATCATGGTGAGCATGTTTAGGGTCATTTTTACCGGGGCATTCAAGGCCAAGGCATTTCATGTCTTCATGTGACAGCAACAAACGGGTGCCTTTGCGGATCAACCTAGGACTTTCTGGCAAATGCAAACCGTAGCGACATTGGTGCAACTTGACGGTGAAGTGACGTCGCAACAAGGTTCGCATCTCATCATACCCCCAAACTTGGGATGGCAGGGAGTGTTCAAACACGGCCCGTCGGCCCTGTTGCACTTGAAGGCGGAACAGCTTGCAACACCAACGAATGAAACTGCGGCTCTGGGCTCTACATTTGAGAAACTCGGTTTGGGACATTTTGTGTCGGCTCAGATACCACCAACCACCTTCATGAGTGCACGGAGGGCACAGCACTAGCAAGTCCGGTGGGTCTCTCACCAACAGATCTTCCACCACGCGCCTATGTTTGGCCGTGGACAGATCCCACCCCTGCTTAATGTCAAAGGACCTTCCCCTAAAACCTGCAGTTTCAGCTTGAGTGGTAAACCTAGGTGGTGAAAAGACCTCCATGACCAAACATCGATTGGATAGAGGAGCAACCGGAGCACATGCTTTCACCTGTGGTTCCAACTGTCTAAGCTGGTGTACACTTGGAAGCCAGGGCACATCGGACTGGGTCTCTGGAACAGATTCGCACGTGGACACCGAGGGATCATCATGCCAAAACTCGGTCACTACATCCTGACAGGCACGGGGCAAACGAAAATGCACTGACTGCTGGTTGCTCATGTGAGAGCACATGTCATCACGAATGATTTCTTGGGAGGCGGCGTCTCGGATGATACGCCGATGCACATGTTTCCATTTAGGTCCATCATTACTAAGTTGAGGGGTTTCGTTACTCCCAAAATCATACTGATACCAAACTTTGAGGGGCTCTACCTGATCGGATGTCTGAAGAGGCACCTCGCACTCTGGCTGTTGGGGCTCATGAGACACAGACTGACCTGGATCGGCTTCAGGACTGGACATCATCACCTCCTCAAAGTTCGACGCAGAAGACGGAGCATTCTTGGCACTGTCGGGCATTTCAAGGACATTTAGGACATACTGGCCGGCCTCGTTCACTTGCAGGGGAACTTCACGGTGATCCTCAAACAGGGTGACTGTGTTGTCAGCAAAGTTGAGCTGGGCTTTGAGTGACTGCAGGGCAGATCTGGAGATCAGCAAGGGTGCAGCACCCTTCACAACCGCAGCTCGAATCTTCCCCCGTTTTCCAGCAATTACCATTGGCATGGACACCGACATTGTGGATACTTCAGTCTGACCATTTCCAAAACGAAAATGATGAACCTCAGCAGAACGTTCGGCTGAGGGAATTTTGGCTGCCTTCCACAATTGTTCAAACTCGTGAAGTGTCGACTCCCCAATGATGGTGCGACCACAACCGGAATCCAAGACACCATAGCCAGGACTCGATACCAGCAAGGTCTCCAGCACGGAGGAGTTCTTGAAGTCATGATCGGCTCGTTGCTGCTGCAACTGTCGAAGTCGCTGCAACATCGATGGCACTGGAGTCACGGCTGCCACAAAATCCTCAAAGGGTGCAGGAAGCACAGACACTGTAGCCGCCCCCGACGTGGAAGAGGACGATGATGCCTGAGCGGATTTGCCAGTTCCCTTGTCACCAGAACTAACTCTTGACCTGCATTCACGGGCCCAATGACCAATCTTTCCACATTTGTTACATTTTGTTTTCTTCTTGAGCTCTTCCACCTCAATGCGGAAACTGCGACGAAGGTCAGTGTTTTGGTTAAACTTGCGGCCCTTCTGGATTTTGCTCAGCTCTGATCTACGCTCTTTCCAGGAGAGAGCGAGGACTTCGGCAACGTCCGCTTCAGCAAAAGCTTCAGTGGAATCTTCGCCGGCACCAGCTTCAGGGTGGTCCTGCAAGAACTGTTGCACGTCTGAAAAGTCGTGCTCTTCAGCTGCTTCATCATTCAGATCATGTTCAACAGCAAGCAGTTCTTCAGTCAAGGCCACCGCCGATCGACGTTTTGCAACATAATCTGGAAAACATGACCGCAAGGAGGCTGCGATCTTGTCCCGTTTCAAGGAGCCAGTTGCCCTGGCTATTACTACAGCACGCTCACCGTCACTCAGGCCGGCACGGTTGAGCAACAACCAGCCGCGAGCCTCATCTGGGAAGGCCACGCCAACTTTTCGTTGGCATCTGTCCAGGAGTTCAGTTGCACGAGCTGTCCATTGTTTCATGTTTTCCCCTTCATTGATTCTCAACGCAAACACACCGCCGAGCACTTCGGCCATTTCATCAGCAGTTTCTTTCTGAGGAAAACGAGCATCCAACAGTTCAAAAAGAACTTTTTCTCCATCCTTCTTGTAATATTCCTCATGAGACAAGTGTTCTACCGCCTCCAGAGCTTTTCCAGACAAAAGTGTGTATATGTATGGCCCACGGGCCTCAGCACTGAGTTTGTCCAGGGTGACCAGTTTGTTCTGCGTCCATGTCTTCCAGCGTAGGTATTCTTTTCCGTCTTCTGTTTCTCCAGAAAAGTACCTCAGGCCTTGTTGGCCTTCAACGGACGTCATGGCACGTGTTGTCGGGATCTTTGCCTGAAGATCAATGGCACTCCATGGCTAGGGAGCCTGCCGAAGCAGGCTCCGCTACCAATAGCGGAATCAATCCCCCTCCGGGAGGAACGCACAAATGGGCGCTCTGTTTTCACCTGAGCCAGAGGTCCCTGCCAGATCGCCACCTGACATATGTTCATAGGCATCCATGTACAGGCACGTGTTGGATTCAACATATATATATATGCATGCATATGTGTTTGTTTGAAAATGGGGTATACCCCCAGTTATGGCTATCAAATAATACGGAACATGATGAAGCAGTGGATTTCCGGGTATCCCATTCTCATACAAACCCATATAATGAGAAAAACCCGATGACAAACAACAAGCAATGAATAATTTTGGTGCGTGATTGGGTGCTGTAATGTGCTGTATACTATACCATCATATACCATCTATACCCCTGTTATCCCCTGTTTATGTGGGATCGTGAAAAATGACCCCCAAACGGTTGCTCACCGGAATGGATTAATTGCTATTGAGTTCATCTCATTCAAGTATTCTATCCCAGAGTCTCAGAGTCCGAATGCTTCCACCGAAGGTTTTTGACCATAAACCACACTGCTGCAGGGCATTCATTGTTTCAAGCTGTTTGGATGTCTTTCAGCACACCAGAAGCGGCTTCCCCAAACAATTTTCACCCCAAAGGACCAAGACGAATCGCATGAAAACAAGTGTTGTCACCCATTCATAGCATGTTCAGACCTCTTAAAACTCGGCTCAAAATGATGGAAAAAGTGCTAGGGTCGTGCAGATCGCATGTCTGATTTCAGGATACTTACCATCTGGTTATTTAACATAGCCATGGAAAATCACCATTTTCAATAGGTAAACCATCTATAAATGGACCATTTTCCATGGCTATGTTAAATAACCAGAGGGTAATTACTTCATGACACTTCGCGATTTAATGGCAACCCAAAGCAACCCCGAAGCAACCCGGGGCTCAGTCCTTCTTGTTCTCAGATATCAAGGGCTCTTCAAACACAATTTGGTTGATGAGCACCTGCAGCAACAAACTTGGCCGACTTGGCCCTTGAAATCTGGCTGCGACAATGGGGCCCATATGGTATAACTCCGTTTCTATGGCCATGTTTATTATTCTTTACAGGGATAACGATAGTTAACCAATGTTAACCAATGGATTCAGGGGAGCCAGGCTCAGACAAACCTCACCATCATGGACCCATGGAGGGTTGAAGGGATCTCCCTGGAGGGCCTCCACGTCTGTCTCAGGAGTCAGATTCAGCAAATCGATGCACTTCGTTTCCTGGGATGGCTACCAATGGGCCTGGTTTGGCCTGGCTTAGCTGCTAGATATATCAAAAAGTGTAGCAAAGGATGGCAAAAAATATCACCCAACAGCTGGGGGATACCTTTTGGGTGTCCTCTTTGATTTGGAACATCATCTGATCATCAAAAAAAACCCAGCCATATCCCATATCCCATGTTTCAGGGGGCGAGCCCGGAGATAGCTAAGTAACTTTAAGCCCTAGTTATAGTATAGAAAGACATCATGTTATATCGTGTATCGAGGTATATCCCCTTGTAAAACATCAAAGAATATCAATAAACCCAAACGTGAAGCAAGTTATAGAAAAGCGTCAATGACTCGGCATCGTTTTCCCATCTCATGAGATACCAGTTGGTTGAAAACGCCGTATGAGTTTGTTCATAATCCCCAATAAAAAAGTAGAAGTTCATATATCAACCCATCAACCAGTGTATTTCCTATAAAACAACTATAATTCCCAAAGAAAAATCCCTTTAAAATCATATACAATCCCTATGACTCACTAGCATTTCTCGCCTTGAACGGAGATGTCACTGGCCCATTCTATATTTCACTTCGCGGCCGAAAAATGCGATCGAATCTGATACACCTGGCCTGCAAGGTGCTGGCTCCCCAGTGATGTTTGTTGGTTTATAAACGATAGGAATAGTATGTCAATATATCTACCATAAACCACAGTAAGATCAGAAAGCTGCTAATCACCAGCACAGTATATGCAAGGTGGTGCCCCGCCCAGTTACAAATTGGTGATTTCTTTGGTTTATATCTACCATAAACCAGAACGAAATTGGAGTTCTATATTCGCACCAACTTTTTCGCGATTTAGCGAACACAGGGGCACTACCGACCGTATCAATCCCATTAAATCACCATTAAATCACCATTATTAACCATTGTTACCCTCTGGTAAACAAACGGTTTGCGACATAGAACATGGCCAGTCGAAAGTCGATTTACCCAGCTATAACATGGTGGATCTTTCCATGGATCTTTCCAATGATTTTCCATGGTTTTTTGAGACAACGTTTACCAGGCCGGGTGTCACCCATTTATGGCCATAAACCAACCAGGCCCTGGTTGCTCCGCCAAGTCTCCAAATCTCCATTTCTTCTCTGATACTCCAGGACCTGGATGGATCGCACATCGCAGGATCTATGAAAATCCAAAAAAAAACATGGGAAGATATTCCATATGGAAAAAGATGGAAAAATATTGGAAAAATATGGAAAAATAGACTATTTGGTGGCTCATCACAGTAAATCGCTTAGTTCAGTCGCAAGTTCTAAGTGAACGAAGCCTACTTATCCCAATGAAATAACCAGGGATATAACCTACTTAGTAAGTGAGATGAGCCACCAAGTAACCAAAATCATGGGAGAATCCTGGGAAAACATGGAAAATCCCTGGAATCAATGGAGGTTTATAGCTGGGAAATCCATCAATGTGGAATTTTCCATTGCCATGTTTGATTGCCAGATCTGGTTGCAACATTCTACAACCCACAAAACTGAGGGAATCACCAGATCACCACAGTTCGAATGAAAGAAACATGGAGATGTGGAAGTCGAAAATGCTGAAATTTGCTGAAAATAAAAGACAAAAGCGAGGCTTCATTTGCTGATTTTGCCCCAATTGCTTGGCAAGGCACCCAGGTCTCCCTCATGAATTGACGGTCATTTTTACGGCCAATAAATCAAATACTGGTTGGTGGTTTCAACCCCCTGAAAAATATTAGTCAGTTGGGATTATAATTCCCAATCTATGGAAACATATATAATGTTCCAAACCACCAACCAGAACATAAGAATTATTCAAACATATCAACGTCCTTGTAAAATGTTGACTAGAGATGTCTCAAACATGTTCAAGCACCAATCCAATTGCTCCAAAAAAATATTTCACATCCAAACAACTCCATCTTTACAAACTACTCCGTCTGCTTGGTTCATGTCCCTTCTACACACGCCGGAGTTCCTGTAAAACGCCGGATGTTCATCTTCGGTTGATTTTCGCGTGTATATCAATATATATATAATATATATACATATACATATATATATATATGATTCATATAATTGTATATACACATACAGTCACATAGCTTTTCCCATTCAGCAAAAGTTCCTAGCTTCCTAGTGCTTTACATGCCAATGCCATAGTGCCATACAGATTTCTTGAGACTGCTACAAGCCTCCAATTTCGCAACCTGAGGTTCAGACAATGCCAGGTGGATAATATCTGAGAAGGAAGCGCTTCAACTTCATCGCCTGCGGCAAAAAACCATGTGAAGCTCATCCAGTTTTTGTAAACCTCATCCAGTTCCAAAAGATCACAAAATCATCCTGTTGCCAGGCATCGTCCCCATAAAAGTATGCAAACATTGCAATGAATTGGGGATACCCAACACATCTAATGTCGGTGCACTGGGATCCACCATCCCAATGGCTGGGATTCAAAACCAAAATATGGTTGGTTTATGATTCTTTTACTAACCTTATTGGTTATATCTAGTTATATCCCGCAAGAACAATACCATGACTCCCCAGAAACTGGTGAAAACGGCGGCGAGCCGCAACTGACCTGGCCACCCAGCACCCCCGCACTCCGTCTGCACAGAAGTAACGGGAGGCGCCACGGTCGCTGCGGCGACTACGAAGCGGCAACTTTGAGCCGTCTGAAGCGCCGGCGCGTTACCGTTGTGCGTAGGCGTTGCACATGGAAAAACCATGAAAAACCCAGGATGAAGTGCAAGATAGCGATGGTTGATGTGGGTAAAACAATGCCATTTTTACCACCCATGACTGGAAATGCTAAGCATACCACCTATAAAAATGGTGATGACTGGGGGATGGTTTATGGCGTTGTTTTACCCACATTATTCATGGAATATTCATGGAATTTTTGAATGGAATATCGATGGCATATGGATGAAATATGATTTGCACATGGCGAACTGGGTGAAAATTCAATATCTGGTAGTTGTGGATGTTCATACAAAATATGGAATCATAGGTTTTGATCCATCTGCAGGTATATACATATATATGGTTGGTGGTTTTAACCATCTAGAAAAATATTAGTCAATGGGAATGATTCCCATATATTATGGAAAATTAAAAATGTTTGAAACCACCAACCAGTATATATTGTATGTATTATATATATGTATAATTATATTATCATATCTTATCAAATAACTGGGGCCTCTTATCCTTACATCTCGCACATTATAAACAATAGACCGCCGATTTCTGGATGGTTTATGCAACCTATTGGTAGGTTTACCACATTATTTGGGTTCCAGTTATCAAACCTTAGCGAAGATTCAGGAAAACGATGCCATGTCTTTGGTGACACCTGTAGTCTCCCGCTTTGCCGTTTATTTTCACCAGATGTTTCTCTATTGATAGGATTTTTATCTGGGCCCTTGATAGTTCTGGATAAACAACAATTATTCGCTTAAACTTAAATATACAAGGCCATTTTTGGATAGTCACACTAACCCTTACCATTATTCCAGTGACCTTGCGGTCAGGTCGTTATATATCGTTGCTATTGTGTCTACCTGGAATCCAAACGGCACTGAATTTTGCAGCTTTTGCCTCCATTTTATTTAGGACTGACCTTCAAAATGCTCTTCAAATAAGAGATATATATATATATATAGTTACCCACAAATACAGGAAAGTAAGTTACCACTATTCTAGCGGCATTGTCCTGTTCTATCTTTTGGCTTGTTTGGGGTTACTGTGTGTATATATACATAGTCATATACATACACATGTATTTCTACATGTATGTATATATATATATATACACACTTATACATATACGCATATATATCATTACGTGTGTATATATATATATATTACATATGTATATATATAGTACATATATACGTATAACGTGTGTATATATATATATATACGCACATATACACACATCACCCCTTGCATCATCTCCCAACCAACAAGTCCCACACCAGCAGATCTTGGATTGCCTGAGTCCTTGGGTGTTTCCTGTTTGGGGTGGAACGGGATCAAATTATGTGATATTCCCAGTTTTGGTTGATTGTTAAAAAACAAAGATTGCGTTCCAATTAGCCCAGCAAAAGGTGTGGATACGCATGCTTCAAAGCAGAAACTGATTATTTTGGGCAATAAAAACGGGACAAAATTGGAAAAGCATATCGCGAACATACACATGCATCCATGCGAACATGTGACAACTTCGGAACGCTGCAGGTGAGCATTTTTCCATTGAGGCTTTGCAGTCAAGCTTGTCCAACTACGCCATTCTTGCAGTAGGACACTTGCTTGGCACAAGCAGTGCGCCCGCTCTTATTCGCAGGTTTCGCTGTTCCTTTGGCCAAGCTAAAAGATTCAAAATTTGCGATCCGTGGGTTTGGCGATGCTTCCCGCTTCACTGCTTTGTAGATCGTCCCTTTTTTCCCTTTCCTTTGGCTGGTTCTTTTGCTTCTTCATGTTTTCTTTTTTTGGCACCTTGGCCGCTACCGGTTTAGGCGACGCCTCCGCCTTGACCTTGCTTTTCTTTCTTTTCTTCAATAGCTGGTTTTTCTACTGGCTTTGGCAGCCTTGTGAAGCATCGCCCGAAGGTTCAGCCCCTGAAACTGCAGCAAGGGCTGCCGCCGCCACTACTGCTACTACCACCACCACCACCACCACCACTACCACTACCCCTACCACTACCACTACCACTATAGTGATACCACTACCACTACCACTACTACTGCCAGCACCGCGGTCGCCGCGGTAACCGCGGTCGCCGCGGCAACCGCGTTCCCCGCTACTACCGCATTCCCGGCTGCTGCTACTACTATACTACTACTACTACTACTACTATTACTACTACTCCTATACTACTGCCAGCGCCGCGGTCGCCGCGGTAACCGCGGTTGCCGCGGTAACCGCGGTAACCGCGGTCCCCGCTACTACTGATACTACTGCTACTACTACTACTGCTGCTGCTACTACTACAACTACTACTACTACTACTACTACTACCACCACCACTACTACTCCTACTGCCAGTGCCGCGGTCGCCGCGGCAACCGCGGTTCCGCTACTACTGATACTACTGCTACTACTACTACTGCTGCTGCTGCTACTACTACTACTACTACCACTACTACTCCTACTGCCAGCGCCGCGGTCGCCGCGGTAACCGCGGTCGCCGCGGAAACCGCGGTCCCCGCTACTACTGATACTACTGCTACTACTACTACTACTGCTGCTACTACTACTACTACTACTACCACCACTACTACTCCTACTGCCAGCGCCGTGGTCGCCGCGGCAACCGCGGTAACCGCGTTTCCCGCTACTACTGATACTACTGCTACTACTACTACTGCTGCTGCTACTACTACTGCTGCTACTACTACTACTACCACTACTACTCATACTGCCAGCGCCGCGGTCGCCGCGGTAACCGCGGTCGCCGCGGCCACCGCGGTCGCCGCGGTCCCCGCTACTACTATTACTTTTATTATTATTATTATTCCTACTACTACCACTACTACTCCTGCTACCCCTACTACTACTGCCAGCGCCGCGGTCGCCGCGGTAACCACGGTCGCCGCTACTACTACTACTACTATACTACTACTGCTAGACACAAAACACCTGTACTTAAGGTAAATTCAATGCCAAAGTCATTGATTTCTATGAAGAAATTGCGTTTCCAGCTGAGTGTCCTTAGATGTCAGTGGATTGAGCTTTCGACGTGAAAAGTATGGAGAATTCCTTAAAAAAGCTTCGAAAACATCGTTGCAGCAATGTTTTTGATAAAAACATTCTGATGCCAAGTGAATTCAATCGAAAACCCTGCGGGAAAGAGAAAACGACTGCCGGAACAAAAGCCAGGAGCCTCAAAGTGGCTTGGTTTTATGAAAAAGACGCGGGATGCATGACAAAGCTAATGCCCGACCTTGCCCCAGCCAACCCGACCCAGCCCGACCCAGCCCGACCCACGCCCGACCCACGCCCGTCCCGACCCGCGCCCGACCCGGCCCGACCCGCGCACGACCCGGCCCGACCTGTGCCCGATCCAGGCAAGACTAAGGCCTGAACCGTGCCCGCCCAAGACCGCACGGGACTGTCTCTTGACTGCTATCTCTTGATTGTCTATCTACTGGAACCATGCTGGATATTGGATCTGGCCTATGGCATACAAGGTTTACATGTTTTTTGAATGATAATTTGCAAAAACCACAGGATTCCTTGCAAAATCCACATATTTGTTGGCGATGGAAAAGAACAAAACCATTGCAAAACAGTGTAAAAATGATAGAAAAACCATCAGAAACAAAAGTTAAGGACGCGTTGCAAAAAGTTCTTGCAAAAAAACATTGGTAAAATCAGCGAGGTGATACAGAAGCGAAGAATACGGAGAAGTATAAGATATTTTTTGCAACCTGCTGTTAGGATAAACAAACCATGACAAAAGACATTAAGTTGATAGAGAAACAGAAGATAAGCATAAGTGGAGAAAAAAATCTTGCAACCTGATATGAAAAAAACATTGAACAACGAAGTATATTGATAGAGACAAAAAAGAAGGACAAGTGGAGGAAACGTGTGGCCACCAGAGAAGCACCTTTTTTCAGCATGTTGGCTCTTTTGCCTCCTATGGCGTTGCCGCTTTCTTCGCTTCGTTGAGCGTCCGCGGGGAGATCCGCTGGGGAGATCCGCTGCTGTGGCATCTACCGCTGTGGCGGTTGCTTCCTCCGCTGGGTCTGTCCTCCCCTCCTTCACTTCCATATCTTTCATGGGTGCGCTTGAAGCTGTTGCAGGAGCAGCTCCCGCTTTGTCAGCCTTTGCTCCTTGGGCGGCTTGGGTGGAATCGTCCGCTGGATTTGGCGTCTCTTCTGTCTTCATGTGGTTTTCTCCTTCTGTCTTCGATGGGTGCGTCAGTGGCGGCGGAGTCTGTCTCCGCACTGCATTCCACTTCCGGCTGGGTGGTGACTTGGCCGCTTGTGCAGTTGGCACCGCTGTGCTTCCCACTTGCGGCTGGGTGGTGACTTCGCCGCTAGTGGTGGCGGGATTGGCCCCGCTGTTCATTCCACTTGCAGAACAGCTCGCACTAAGTCGCCGCTCGTCGCGCTATTGTCATGCACTGGCATTGGCTTCTTCCCCTGGTTGCAGAGGCACAGGCAGGTCAGGGTTCTCCGCGGTCACTACATCGAAAGATCCGTCCGCAAAAACACGGATGAATGCGGCCGGCTGTCGCTTGGGCGGAATTTCTTCCAGCGAATTCTGGCTATCCCGTGGCAGCGCTGTCTCTGCTGGTGCTGGTGAGGTTGGGCTTAGCTCCTCCTGCGGACCGTGCGGAGATGGCGATGCCATCACTGTATAGGCTTGTTGCCTCTGCGGCTTGCGATGCTGCTGCCTGTGTGATTTTTTTTCGGGTTTGCAGACAGTGCCGCTTGGAAGTCTTTTCCCTCATTCCTTTCGATTGCGCGGGCCACCCGGCATTTCAATGCGGACAATGTCTCCGCTTCCAATTTCAATTCATCACAAGGCGATGATGATTTCTCAAGCGCCTCCAACAAGCCTTTGCGGAGATATTCTTCCTCCTCTGTCCAATCCGTCAAAATTCCATGCCCAAGTTTCCCAGGCGATACGGAGACCAGGCACAGGCTTTGAGAAATCCGTGAAAATTCTTTGTTGGCACACGTGTCTCCGCTGTAACCGGTCAAGCGCTTGCGTTCCCGCTGCTCCTCCAAAACATGCTGCAAGGCATGCTTGCGAGCAAGATCAACAACCCAAGGTTCTTCCGGCATAAAGAATTTGCAGATCATTGGATCCCCGCTTCTCGAAACAACATTGACCTTCGCCCGGCCACTGCGGGGAGACAAAAACAGAAACGCCATGGCTCTGTATGGGCTCGCAAAGAATGAAATTCCAATTCCGAAAAGTTCATTCATCAAATACAGACAATTCGGCGGCAGCTTTCATCGTCCAGTTTCAATTTCATATCGAATGTCTTTTGCTCTTGAATTGATCAACTAAATCCCTCAACGCAAAGGAATCTAAATTGAGCCAAGAACCAAAACATCACACCATCATATCAAATACTTCTCAAAGATTGAAAACCATGTGAAACTTTTTTCTTTACATTAGAACACGGCGAGGTAACATTGGAAGACATGTCACAGATATTACTGCAGGATAACGATTAAAATATCACACTAAGGTTACAGCATTGATAAAAAACGCTGTGCAGATGGGATCTACATCAGAACCACTGCGAGCAAGGACTGGTGGAAATCCAAGACCAGCAGATGTTTTGGTTTCCACGGCACATTGGCACGCGAAAGGATGGTAGCAGACGGACAGACGGACATCGCTGAGATATTCGGGGCCTGGGGTCCATGCTTCACCGATGAGTCGATAATCTGTGAAGTTCGCAACTGGTTGAAGGTCACTAGTCCGGTGATATATATATATATGTATTATATAGATATAGATATACATAGATGTAGATATAGATATATATATATATACATATACATGATTATATAAGCACACTGTTTATATGTGTATATGTTACATACATTTATCATATGTATATATACACATGTATGTGCATGATACGAGTATGTATATATACTATGTTTATAGTCATATATATATATATGTGATATATGCGTCATCTATATATATATATGTATACGTATATATATATATATATGTATATGTATATATGTATATATGTATGTATATGTATATATATATATATATGTATATATGTATATATATATATGTATATATGTATATATGTATATATGTATATATGTATATATGTATATATGTGTATATGTATATGTATATGTATATGTATATGTGTATATGTATATATGTACATATGAATACATGAATATATGAGTATATGAATATGTACACATAATCACATATATATATATATATACAAGTATGTATATATGCATATATGAATATATGTACATATGAAAATATGGTGTGTGTTTGTAAATATAATGTATACAATCGAATGTACTGCAGTGGCGAAACATTTTGGGACTTCCAGTAGATATCCAGATTGCGCATTCGAACCATGCTCCTGTCAATTCAATCAATAATGATCTGCCCATGCCAATCATCTTTGGTCATGGGTGGCCACTATATAATAATTTAAAATTGGATCTTACCAAATATATAACATAGCTATTGAGCATGGCCATTTATAGTGGATTTGCCCATTAAAAATGGTGATTTTCCATAGTTATGTTCGTTTACCAGAAGGTACCAGACCATACCAGATGATACCAGACGAACTTTTGGATCATCCCAGTGTAAGAACCGATGTACTCACATGATGGTTGCAGTACATCCCGGTAAAACCCTCGGATACCTTATATACAGTATATATATATACCCATAAACACCATAAACACCTGATCCTTCAGTTGCCAAAGATTTGAATCATCAACGCATCCTTCGGTGATATCCATAGCCCAGGCCAACTAGCAGCCACTGCTCAGCTAGCCGCGGCAAGACCTCCAGTCAGCGCCAAAACAATGCCCGGTTCCAAACCCGGAGATGTTTGGCTTTCCATGATTTAGGGTCTCAAAATGAAGGATTTTAAAAAGAAAAAATGTGGAAATTTTAAGGGGTATCATGATGAACCATGAAAGTTTGGGGCGAAAACCATCGGAAAACCTCTGCTAGTCTCCGGGTATTAGATGAACCTGGCAATTGCAAATCCACCCTTTTCATCCCTTTTCTTGGAAAATATTCCGAAAGCCAATGATAAGACAATTCTTATGACATGTCCATTTGCCAGGCTAGATTACTGGATGGCAGCTGGCCACATGGCAATGCATGGTTGGGGCTATGCTCGGCCAAAGGATGTTGGTGCCAGCGGTTGGTAATGCTTGTCAGGCTTGTTAGTAATAGATCCCCACCCACACCTGGGTCCATTCTCGGAAACAATTTTGAAATAAGAGTACCTGGTTGTCAACCAAACAACGGAGACTCTCAAACAAATACCCACAAAAACAGGACAACAGCGCAACCAGCGCAACATTTGGCCTTCGTTCTTTTCGTGGTTGTCTGGCCTTGGCGTTCGATATTCCAATGACCAAAGGTTCGACAATTTTTTTCAGTTTGGATCCAGAAGAATCCAGCCCAGAACCAACAAATGGGCCATAGTGAGAGTTGAAAGGCCAAATGGATCAGATGGCATGGTGAGTTTTGATATGTTTTGATGGAGCAACCGCAAGACGAAAAGAAAAAACGTATTGCAAGACATGCACCCATGTTGTTCCACAATGGATTAACCACTAGAAAAAATGATGATGAGTTTGTCTCCCAGCTGTAGCACACCCACAGTCTTACAGCAATCACAGGTGAGGCGCAAGAAAAAAAGCGGAGCTTGGAGGCAAAAACTTCCCTCCAGGGAATTAACATATGAAAAAATCATGGGTTTCAACCCTAAGAAATGATCCATCAATGGTGGATGTTCCATCTGCTAATAGGAAACAGCATCCGATGCCAGTTTTGGATGCACCACAGGTTGCGAAAAAACTGCCACAGCCGGTCTCATGAATCCCTAAATCTCCAAGAAAGGCTTGGCACATGGAGTGGGTCTACGCCCTGCAAGACCCATCAGCACTGGAAGTTCTTTTCATCTGCCTTGGCACCTCAAACTGACTTCGAACGACCCTCCAGTGTCATCAACCATGGCTGGGAAATACCCAAATTAAGTGGAGGTTTATAGCTGTGAAAATCATCAATAAATTTATCAGGCATTTCAAAAATTTCCCAAGACAGGTTTGATTGCAGGAGAGTAGGTAAGGCAACCATTTCTTGTGAACGGTGCTGCAATGCGAATGATTCGTCTAGCTCTGAGATTCCATCCAGAGCCATGGTCGTTTTCCAGCACCCAATACCGGGTATGGCACAAACATGAATTACCCCACAGACCACTATTTTGGTTGTTATGATTAGTATGATTGGATTAAAGGCTGAGCCATGATCCTAACCGCAACAGATCCATACTTTCAAACCGTGAGCATATAAAATATGTACAATCCAAACTTTTGAAGCATAAATAGCATCAAGCAAATAACTTGTTTCAACATATTCACTTAAAGTCCTTATTTTTTGGACCCTTTTTGGACCCTTTTTGAATCTCAAAAAAAGCGCCGAGGAAACTTCAGCTGCTCGACTGCGTCCAATTGCTGCCAGGACCAACTGCTCTCCACCTTTGACTTGCACGCTCGAGCGCACTTGCTGTTGCCAATGAAGTTTGGACTGGCCTGGGCCAGCAATCTTGGAGAACGACGATTTCTGCTGTTTCACATGTTGTTTCAGTAACTACTATATAGGAATAATAGTAATTCATAATAAGAATAAGAATAAGAATAAGAATAAGAATAAGAATCAATATATATATATATATGTATACGAATATGTGTATATATATATACGAATATTCATATATACACATATAAATATACGAATATATATATATATATATCATTTCTTCTGACTCACAGAGCCAATTGATCAACTCCGAAGCCTCCATTCCCAAGTCCTTCCCCCTGCCCCATGTCCCAGAAGGGGGAGCCGCATGATAGGTAAGTTGACGCAAAGTTCACTTGGTTACCCTCTGGTAAACTAACGTAAAACTATGGGAAATCACCATGTTTATGGGTAAATCAACTATAAATGGCCATGTTCAATAGCTATGTTAAATTACCAGAGGGTAAGTGTTGGGTTGATTACGGGGATATAACATGATATAACTAGTTATATAATGGGGATTATAAACCACGTTACGACTGGGATTGACTGGGCATCACCTTGCATGTCTCTTCAGGACTTGAGGCCATGTGGGGTACAGTCGTCATGAAACGTGGCTTGCTGGGATTTCCTTGCCAGCCACGTTTGATTACCGGAAGCTATTCCACGTTTTTGTACAAACCCAAACCCAATAAGCTATCAGCAGCTTATCACCCCTGGCTTTATGGCCACTGATTGGCTAGGTGACTTTCTTGCACTCAGAAGACACGCTCGCTGTCTTGGAAACGTAGCCCTGGCAGAAAGAGCAGCGGCCACTGGCAGACCAGCCCACTTTGCCAGATTTGCACTTACAGCACTTTTCTGTGGTTTTTGATCCCCATTCCTCAGACATCTTCATCACTTCATGATCACGCTCTGCTACCACCGTGTCATCCTTCGCATCTTCTTGCAAGAATATGCCAGAAGTTTGTAGTTTCGAATTGCATTCCTCAGGGTTTTGGAGCGACATTGGGCCAGTAAAATGGGGTGCCCTTCCAACAGTTGGATCTGGATTTGAAGGATGGGCATGAAAATCATGAACTCCAGGACCGCGAAGGAGGTTTTGGGTTTTGGGGCAACAAATGACCAGCCACTGTAAACCCTAATTGGTCTCAAGGTTTAATCCATACCCATATGCCCGCAACCAGCTAAACAAACACTTGGTGCTTGAGTCAAACTCCTGACAAAATTTCTATCTCTCAGGAATGGAAAGCAAAAAAATTGAAAAATGGAAACCACCAATTCCACAAAGGTTACCCGGAAATACTCCCCTTACTCGCAGACATGCTTGGATACACTCAACTAATTATCCAATAAAATGTGGATTATCCATCGCGCTTGATTGGGAGTAGGTACTGTATAGCAACCCCAAATCGAAAAGGCAAACCTCGGAACTATGAACTCTGGTAATTTCACCTAGCTCTGGAAAATTGCAATTAGTTCGCTGATTTACCTATAAAACGTATTAAATGTTGTGGGTTTTCCAATTCGCAAACTATTAATTTACTAGAGGCTCATCCAAGCTTCGGATTGGCAGGCGACACGGCCCTTAAAATTGGGACTGTCTTCTTTGCACGTCTCACTCACGAGGGCAATCTTTTGAACCTGGCAGTGGTTCGTTCGGTGAAGTTCCTGCACAACTGGTCTGGTTGGTGGTTCACCTACCCCTCTGAAAAATGATGGCGCTCGTCAGTTGGGATGATGACATTCCCAACTGAATGGAAAAATAAAAAATGTTTGAGACCACCAACCAGGAGTTTTAAAGACGCCATAATGAAAGTCAATAAATTTAGTCATATTCAACGTCGCATACTATTTTTAATTGTGTATTATTCAAGAATATATTTATTACCATCTGGTTATTTAACATAGCCATGGAAAATCACCATTTTTAATGGGTAAACCTCTATAAATGGGCCATTTCCCATGGCTATGTTGTAGTAGCACCGGGGATACATGGTGAAAATCGCCCTGGTTAGGACGTGGTTGTCCCGCTGCCTGCCCCTACAAAGGTTGCCCAGAGCCCAGGCGGATAAACTGGGCCAACAAGCCACCAAAAGACTGCAGTTTTGATGGGGAATATAAGAATACCCTCTGGTTATTTGTTACATAGCCATGGTATAGATGGCCCATAGAAATAGATGGTTTACCTATTAATAGCATGGTGATTTTCCATGGCTATGTTAAATAACCAGATGGTAATAGATATTTAATAATAGTAATGGATAGTAATGGGGAATAGTCTTGATGGGGAACATACGTGGGGAATTAATTGATGATGGGGAATATTGGGTGGAATATGCCCTGTTTTGATCGGAAAACTGGGAATATGATGCCTGGATTTTGATTTCAGGTGGAGTTGTCTCCATGAGGGCGTTTGCCCTGACAAGGATCACAAACGGTTTTGGAGAATAAGAATGGGATAGCTGGATCTTCATGCCCACCATCAACCGATAGTCTCACAGGTATTGACCCATCACCATATTTCAATTGAATTCGAACGTTTTTGTCAGAAACATCTGATTTGTTGATTACATTAGAATGTGCCATTGCTGGTTGATATGTCCCCTATGTATTTAACACGGAACCCGTATAATTTATGGATCAGGCAGATGATTTTCGTAGATAAAACAATATTAGTTGGCTTCCGTTTCCGACAATTTCCTAAGTTTTTAGGTTCTTTTCATGGTTAATCCATGCGTGATCCCCATCCCATGGGATCATGATGTTGCCTATTCAAGTATATTCAAGTTGCCATTTTACTGTGGGTCTACCATTCTACCCCCAAGATATGCTCGTTGTGTTCCATTGCAACGGCTATGCGTCACCATTTTTGCTGGTTGCATGTTTTGAAGATTATCATGAAGTTTCTCACCTGGTGTAAATACCCCATGTGTTTGGGGGTGCAGTTGTGGTTTTGTTTATGCGTACCATATAATTATGGGATTAAAACCTCCAAAAGTTGGGATATAACCTCTACAACAATGCTTTTGTGTAGCCACTCCTTAGTAAAAAACTATCATTTTCCCAGCTATAAACCATTATAAACATCCATTTAGTGCGGGGATATATACCAATCATATCCCCCCCATGTCTGATACCATCCCTTTCTTCCCAGGCGGCAGGCACCTGGTCCTGGCAGACCTTACAGCCATCCACCGACCACGTCACTTGGCCCGAACTGCACTGGCAACATCTCGCCTGGGGAACTGAGGCCCTGCGTATCTATCTATCTATCTGTCTGTCTGTCTGTCTATCTATCGATCTATCTATCTATCTATCAATCTATCAATCTATCAATCTATCAATCTATCTATCTATCTATCTTATCTTATCTTATCTTATCTATCTATATATCTATTTTAATATATATTATCATGTATATGTTGTGTATATATATATATACACAGTGTATGTGTGTGCATGACTATAATCTATAGTGATTTAGATTATATACATTTCTATGAAGTGATTTACATATTCTATATAGTCTGGTATCAAGTGGTATGTAGTTTGGTATCAAGTGCCTAAATCGTGCGTACCGTATATACATATATTTATATAAATCAATAAGAAGGGATTTACATATAGTCTATATATATATAGTGTAACACAAGTCCGTGTATAGTCTCAGCGATTTTCCAGTTCGCTATGTTAAAAAACCAGATGGTCTATATATATATATATACACAGTATATACAGTGCATATCGCCGGAAACCCCCAGCCGCAGAAAGTGGAGGCCACCAGCCGAACCTTGCCAGGCACTGTGCAGGTTTTGAGGACCAGACATTTGGAAAACAAAAAAAACTCGAAAAAACAAAAAAAACATTTTTCCAGAGGTTTTTGCGGGATGGGAGGGTCCAGCCAAAAGTCTCCAAATATTTGTTTTTGCTAACGCCTCTGTTAGCGGCCCCATAGCAATATCTTCAAAGTCTGCTGCTCTACCAGGTCAGACTCTCAGACGGCAAGCTTTCGTTCCACAACTGTCGGTTGCATTTTAACTCGGCATGGTGGCATGTTTTCTCCGTCAGTGTTTCTTTGTTCTTGCTTCTACCCACATCAGTTGATAGGGGTTGGGTGGGGTGGAGCATGTTGACGTTGTTTTGAAGTTGCATCGGATGTGCACGCTACGGTGGACATAGGGTTGGGTGGGGTGGGGCATGTTGACGTTGGTTTGAAGTTGCATCGGATGTGCACGCTACGTGGACATAGGGTTGGGTGGGGTGGGGCATGTTGACGTTGGTTTGAAGTTGCATCGGATGTGCACGCTACGGTGGACATAGGGTTGGGTGGGGTGGGGCATGTTGACGTTGGTTTGAAGTTGCATCGGATGTGCACGCTACGGTGGACATAGGGTTGGGTGGGGGGGGCATGTTGACGTTGGTTTGAAGTTGCAATGCACGCTACGGTGGACATAGGGTTGGGTGGGGTGGGGCATGTTGACGTTGGTTGGTTTGAAGTTGCAACGGATGTGCACGCTACGATGGACACAGGGTTGGGTGGGGTGGGGCATGTTGACGTTGGTTTGAAGTTGCAACGGATGTGCACGCTACGGTGGACATAGGGTTGGGTGGGGTGGGGCATGTTGACGTTGGTTTGAAGTTGCATTCGGATGTGCACGCTACGGTGGACATAGGGCTGGGGGGGGTGGGGCATGTTGACGTTGGTTTGAAGTTGCATCGGATGTGCACGCTCTGGTGGACATCATAGGGTTGGTGCCAAGTCCTGGCGGTCGGAGTGCGGAAAATTTCGCCTGCCATTTCGCAACGTGGTCCATGTGAAGATGCAGGTCAGTAAGATGGTCAGAGTGAAAGGCAAACGAAAGTTCACTGGAACACAATTGCTCGATCAGGCGTGGCGCCATCTGAAAAAGTATGTGCCCAAAGAGTTGAGCACTCATGAAGGATTGGGCACAAGAGATGCTGCACGGCTTGAGCACTATGTGCAATCCTTTCAGTTTCGCTGGAATCAGAAAATGAATCTGGCAGATGCCTTGGCCACAAGAGCGGCAAAGCATCGAGGATAAGTGTCCGAAAACATGATCCCGCAGAAAAAGAGAGGCGTGGATCGCCATTACATTGCAAATTGAACATGATGCACATACCCCTATGCAAAAAATTGTACAAAATGCATGCGTGCAAATTTCCAATATGAAAGAAAACATACAAAACGTGGGACATTGGAGACAAGCAGGTATGAATGTGGCGATGAAAGGCCCAGGGTCGCTATCAGCGGCGATCCCTTGTTTTTGTTGTTTTTTTTTTCCTCGAGAAAACAAAAAAAAACACACATTTTTCCGGAGGTTTTTGCGGCATGGGAGGGTCCAGCCAAGAGTCTCCAAATATTGTGTTTTTCTTTGTTTTGTTTGTTTTTCCTCGAGAAAACCAAAAACAAAAAAAACACAATGTTCCAGAGGTTTTGGGGAATGGGAGGGTCCAGCCGAGAGTCTCCAAATATTGCTTTGTTTTTTCCAATGTTTTTTGGGTTTTGGTATCCCAGGCATTGTTTTTCCATTTTTTTGGGGTTTTGGTGATTCTAGATATCTATAATATCATATAAGATTTCAGAAGCATTAATGTTTACTTGAGTACATGTATTTAAATAACCCTGAAAATAGGAACATAGAAAAAAACACGTGTTTTATATTGTAAATACCAGTACAAACAGCATGTCGGGGGGGAGGCGTTGGGGGGCTGACCATATATATATATATATATGTATATATACATAACCCTATATCATTATAACCCTATGAAGTATATATGATATAATGATATAGGGTTGTCATATAATTATATATATCCTATTATAATTCATCTGTCCTCCATACATTGCATACAAAAGACTATAGGGTAAACATTTACCTACAGTAGATGTGGAAAAGCTTTGGGAAACCCTATGAAAATGATCTACTAGTGGAGTTTCCACATCTTTTATCATCTTTTGGTATTTTTACAGGAGGGTAGATATGTGTGTATATATGTACGTATACATATGAATATGACCACCCAACAGAATAGAATTTGGTAAAATCCCACTATGTAACTTAGTGATAAGATGCCAGTGTTACTATATCACTATCCCTTATCACTACGCTTGGGAGTTATGGAGTTACTATTAATAAAACTATACAGATTATATATGTATATATACACCATAGTAAATCCCACTATCTTTTTGGGGGTTATATACTTTATAAATACCTCTGGTTATATATTTAACATATCTACGGACAATGGCCCATTTATAGATGAATTGCTTCATGAATTCCCTACTTAAAATGGTGATATTCCAGTTCGCTATGTTAAAAAACCAAATGGTATATATATATATATATATGCGGGCAAATTACAATAGTTCACAAACCTGAAATAAGGCTTCTTGGGATAATTCCCCTAACCACTATTCCAGGGTTGAGTCGGGACCTGAGGTTGTCATAGTTTACCCATATATATATATATATATACACTACATATACACATTCATCCAGGAGTAGATAGAATATGGAAATTTCAAGAAATCCTCACTAAAACGGGAAAATGCCAAAAAGATGGTGTATCTATGTGTATATATATATATATGGCTATGAGTCAAAACCCTGGTGCTGCAGGTACCCAAAAATATATGGCTATTGTATGGTTATTCACCCAAGTATGGTAAATTCATAGGTAACTTGACACATTCCCATATATTATCACATCAATACATATCTATATCTATAAATATGTATATAGCTAAATCTATATATATATATCATTATCTATAGCTATCTATATATATAATATATATATATATATATCAGCTCATCTATCATATCTATATAATTTCTGCCAATGGCTTGCTTCATTTTTTGTTCCCAGCAGCTGATGTATCCAGGGCATCCAGGAACGGACTTTTTTTTTCGGCCGAAAGCCTGGTGAAAATCGGGGACGATTTCATGAACAGTTCAGGGTTATATAAAGGGTTAGGTTTTTTGTGGTTAATAGTGGTTAATAGTGGTTAATAGTGGTTAATAGTGGTTAATAGTGGTTAATAGTGGTTAATAGTGGTTAATAGTGGTTAATAGTGGTTAATAGTGGTTAATAGTGGTTAATAGTGGTTAATAGTGGTTAATAGTTAATAGTGGTTAATAGTGGTTAATAGTGGTTAATAGTGGTTAATAGTGGTTAATAGTGGTTAATAGTGGTTAATAGTGGTTAATAGTGGTTAATAGTGGTTGCTGGTGGTTAATAGTGGTTAATGGTGGTTAATAGTGGTTAATAGTGGTTAATAGTGGTTAGTAGTGGTTAATAGTGCTTAATAGTGGTTAATAGTGGTTAATGGTGGTTAATAATGGTTAATAGTGGTTAATAGTGGTTAATACTGGTTAATGATGGTGAATAGTGGTTGATGGTGGTTAATAGTGGTTAATGGTGGTTAATAGTGGTTAATAGTGGTTAATAGTGGTTAATAGTGGTTAATAGTGGTTAATAGTGGTTAATAGTGGTTAATGGTGGTTCATAGCGGTTTATAGTGGTTCATGGTGGTTAATAGTGGTTCATGGTGGTTAATAGTGGTGAATAGAGATTAATAGTGGTTAATAGAGATTAATAGTGGTTAATAATGGTTAATAGTGGTTAATAATGGTTCATAGTGGTTAATAGTGGTTAATGGTGGTTAATAGTGGTTAATAGTGGTTGATGGTGGTTAATGGTGGTTAATGGTGGTTAATAGTGGTTAATAGTGGTTAATAGTGGTTAATAGTGGTTAATAGTGGTTAATAGTAGTTAATGGTGGTTAACGATGGTTGATTTCCATTTAAAAAAAATTAGGGTTGTTTGAACGGTTGATTTGGGTTCAACGATTGGTTTGTAAAAATGATTTCGTGAATCATTTAAGAATGGTCAACGCAAATCAGCTATTTAATGACAAATAATGGTTAAGAATAGTTGATGAAACAGTTGCACTGAAAATAAGCCATTTTGAAGTGGACACTAATCTTCCAACCCCAGCCACTGCCAGGGTCTATGTTAATTTAGTGGAGGGTAATGATTGATAATGATAAGAATGTTGAAAGTGAATCACAAGAATGGTTAAGCCAAATCAACTATTTAATGGTGAAATAATAGTTAATAATATAGAATGGGGAATCAGTGATAATACTGGGTACTTAATGGGATATTTAATGGTATTTACCCTCAACTTTTCTGGTTGGTTCTTT